TAGGGTTAGATATGTTTTGACTTGTTATTGCTAGGAAAATAGAAAGGAGAAATAACTGATTGTGAGAATATTCAGGAAGTAAATTCTATTCTTATTGCAATAATACAAAAAGCTCAGGTTAAAAGTAAAAAAGATGAAATGTACACGATTTTTAAGCTGATAAACAATTTACGTGATTCTATAATTGTTTTTCTATTATACAGTGTTGTGACAAATTATGATGCTTTCAGGCCAATATAGGGCAGTTAATAGAAACTTAATTATCAGAAAGGTGCAAGTACTCAATGTATCACTTTAAAGGATAATATTTCTTCAAACAATTTGTAATGGAGGCTCAATTACTAATTTTCATATGTTCTTACTAATAAACACAGAGATGTATGAACATAACATTAGTTCTGCTACTGGCATTCATGCTGGTGCCTACCATTCTTCAAGCATATTTTAAAAAATACCTCTTTGTATTTTGGAGCTTGTCAAAACTGTGGTGCTTGTTTCCCCCACCCCAGGACACAAGCTTTTATTTTACTTTGGTTCAAATGCTGAGATATCCTTTTCACCACAGGTTTAATGAAGACAACTAACAAAAAAAATAATCCCAGCCTTGACATTTTGCAGTTCAAGATAAAATGATCTAATGGCTTCTTGTCATGAATCTTCATCCATATGGAATTCTGGGAGTCGGACTGGCAGTTTCAGTGCAGGGCTCCTTCAAGCCAACGACAAAACTTCCAGCCAGGAAGAAAAGCTCTTACCCTCCGTCTCTCATGTGACATCCAGCAATTGGTCAAATGTTGGACTTGATGATCTTGGAGGTCTTTTCCAGCCTAAATGACTCTGTAATTTATTTTTTTAGTTAACCCAGACAGAATATACAATGAAGGAGAAACAAGATTTGTATCTTACAAAGGTAATTTCTTTTAAAATAAAAACATAGCCCTTGCTCACACACAGGCACAAGACGTCACAGAAAGACTAGCAGTTGTTATAAAAAGGGATATCTGCATGCAAATATAGTGCAGGTTTTTTGTACAGAGAAAAATAAATCAAATTAAATTCCTTTAAAAGATAGATGGCTACTACAATTCATCTGGGGAAGCAGGGTGAATGAGGAGCGGGGGACGAGAGTTAAAAATCCAAAGCAACTCTAAATCCTTCCTTGCAGCCTGCACTTCACTCCTCCCCTTCTCATAGGTGTGTGGTATTGATCTCCCCACCTTCACAGACCATTATGGATGAGGCACTGCTGCACTCTGACACGCTCATTGCTAGGAACGAGCAGTGGCTCGTGAACAGTTATTTGAAATTTTGCTACCAGGTGGCTGCAGCTTTGCAAACCACCCACCACAAGACAGAGCCCCCCTGGCTGTGGCTGGAGCAGGAACAGTGACTGCTGCAGCTCCAGCTTCCCCTCCTGACTGCACCAAGAGCGCCTGAGGCTCCAGGTAAAGATGGGAGAGTGGAGCACATGGAGCAGCATCTCCTAGGGATGTATCATGGAATGTCTGAAGTCTCTGCAGCCAACATCTCACTGGCCTTGGGCAGGAGGAATCAGTGAGTGGGTACAGATGAAGTTACAGCACGTCAGTCCTTAAAATAACAGATATGGCAAAACAACATATGTCTCTAAAAGCTGATTTATTATTAAGAAAGTCCTCTCGGGTACAAAAATCAGTATAAAATCACTGATCTCACTGCACTTTATTCTCCACACTTAGAATATCTTTACTGACCATATCTAATATAGATTTAATTTATCTTGTCTGTAGGTTAGACACAATAGATGAAATTACTTAACATTCAGAATACATATAATTTATATTCCACTATAATAATCTGTCAGTAATCAGTACTCTTTACCACTTCTTCCACAGATCCCATGTTAGAAACTTTGGGATCGAGTTTATCAACAGAATAGCAATGTCTTGCTGTATCCAGGGACTTGTTTAAATTTTATCTGATAAATGTGGAAAAAAATGAATTTACATTTGTGAACTTGGGTAAAGTAAAATTCATAAATGTGAGCTTAAAAGGTGCTACAGAGCCCTGTGAAAGTTCTGTGGGCAAGATGAAAAATCCAGAGCTCACAATTACGTGCTTAATGATCAGCAAAGTTAAGCATCCTGTAAGACACCTGATGAATCGTGCCCTTTGGATATAAGAGCTTTCTCTTGGCATTTTTTCCCTTCAGCTTCAAAAATTGGAAGTCTCTGTATTTCAGTTTCTGAAATGTGGTCTTCCCAGAAATACATTTTCCCAAAAAGAGAATTAAGGCAGGCAAGCATTCAGGTATTCTTCTTCAATAATCTCTGATGAAAAACTACCATTTTCTGTCATCAATTCACTGTAAAGCAACTCCAGACTTATTGTGGCCAGTAAGCCTCAAGGATAAATTCATATCAAATTCTGAAAAAATGAAATGGACATGAAAAAGGAAAAATACCCATCGAAAACAACACGAGAAGGCCTTCAGCACCGTACAAGGGTTATGTGAAAGATTGTGATTTACAGTGACTGTGCTGGTAAAAGGTCTCTGCATGTAGATTATATGAAGTACAATAGGCCATGCAAAATGAGCAGGAAGTAGTATAGGGATTTTTTACATGAGAATTGGAGGGACCTAAAAAAGAAAAATCTGGCATATTTAGATTTTCTTAAATTTCCATTTCCTTGAAGAGCTGGATTCTGTCTCTCTGGCTTGTTACCTACATGTTGCTACAATGCATAACATTTTAATCATGTGGTCCCTTGGCCAGCACTACAAGTCTGGCTTCATTCAAAAGGTTTTTACCTTTGAATTGTTGGTGTTCAGCATCATCACATCCACTAGATGTCACTCAATAGTCATAATTTCCAGCATTGACATAAACACACACAAAAAAGAGGGCAACAATTTTTTTCTTCAGACTAAGAATAATGTTCTTTTAAAAAATTTTGTAGCCACTGTTTAAAAATGTGTTGTCTGAAAGATTTTCATCGTCACTTTGAAAATGATGACTTTAAGCTGATCCCATCAGAAGCCCTGGTTGCCATCTGAAAGTTATGTATTCCTTTAATAAATGTGCTTCTTCTTGGAGTGTGATGGGCTTGCTGCTAATGGATAATTGTGCCTCTGGACACATGAACACACTGATCAACATTTTGATCTGCATAATGCTTAAAGACATTGATCTTAAGTGCTGTTGTTTTCTAGCTTATATATTCATGTCCTGTGGAGTTTTACCCTTAAGAGTTGTTTTGAATCACATCCCCCAAAAACATCCATTTACCAGGATGTACAGAGCCTGTCTTAAGCTGCTTGCAACGATGTGTTTCTACCTGGACATTCTCTAGCTCCCAGTTCCAGGCATTTGTTCTCATATGTCTTTCAGGACTGAAATCACATCACAGTGCACTTGACAGTTCTTGAGAAACTAAACAAAGAAATTGTTCTCTAGCCTTCAAAGATTTTATTGTCTTTTTCCATACTCCCTCTGGCTTCCAAACAGCCTTTTCAAAATATAGATACTAAAACTGTTCCCGGCATTGTAACAACAAAAACACTACATATGGGGAGAAAACAACTTCACACCCTTCACCTGCTTATTACTGTTTTATATCATTTTCTTTCAGAAAGAGGCTTATAACTTTGTTATGATGTATTTGGTTCCTATTTCAGGGCTACCTCAATGTCCTACCTTTTACTAGATTTGTATTTTCCCTGATGTTGCTGGTGTCCCTCATGAATTCCTATGTTCAGTATATATTGACAGTTCATTTATTCCCCCAGAGCCCAAAGGAATACTCTCTCTATCTGAGGAAGCCATAAAACTTTATCATCTCTTGCCCTAATCACCAGCAACAGTGACATTTTCAAACATGTGCTGCAAAGACAGGCAACAAATTCTGCTCAAGCTGGATATTCAACCCAAATGCTCAGAGCAAGGAATGCTGAAAGTGTTTATTTACTACTCTGTGCAAATTTCTCCCGACGTGCAAATTAAACCCGCTATGTAATTTGCATAAAGAGCCTTTGTGAAAGGCCACAGCCAGGTGGGCTCCCCTGTACCAGGATGCTTCAAACATACAATGAATGATACTTTTGGACCAACTCACATTAAATTCTTGCATTGATGTAGGGTTCCAAGAGCTTCCTTAATCACATGGCAAACAATCATAGAATAATAATTTTCGTAACTGATCATTGCAAGGGCAGGACAAAAAAAAAAAAAAAAGAAAACATATGGATTGTACAGAACTAAATACTTTTTTTCCAGGCTCTGTTATTCCCTTTCTCTTTTGTCACCCGAGTTTTAACACATAAAGCATGCTGTTTGGCAAATCTATCAGAGGGTGCTAACAAGGGAAATAACTAACGTGCCTTCTGATGGCAAAGAAAAACAGATGCTGAAGTGAGCTGGAATTATTGTTTCTAGTGCTGTTCCTGGTGAACCTTGATCTTCTTTCTTCAAGACAAAGCAAGTTTGAAAGGGGCAGAAAATAAAAAGAACTGTGGAGATTAAAAAAACTCAGTTCAGTTTCCAAGGCTGTCTCTCACTTGCTATCAAAGAGTGGTAAGTTCCCAGCACTAGGTCTTACCTGCTGTGGGTAGGTCTGACACACCTCCACAAATCAGGATATTTTGCTTGAGAAAAGCAAACCAGTCCTAGCTACCAAAGCTGAACTCTTGAACAAGAGCAAAAGGAGAGGAAGAGAAGGGAAGAAATACACAACACGCTGGGAAACAGGGGGGGGGGGAAAAAAGGGGGCAGGTGGGGACAAAAAAAGTGAGATCAGGACTTCAGGTCTCATAGTCTGGCACTGACTAGAATTTTGTTAAAGACAATGGAGATGGTGGTGACATGGGGGTCCCTTTCAGCTACCCAGTGCAATCAGGACATGGTTCAAGAGAAGGTACAGTTGTGCTGTACTTTTGATATGAGGGCTCAGTGTCCTCTGGTACTCTCCAGCAGCACTGTTGCTCTCTGGACATGAAGACGGAATGACGGATTGAATATCTTAAGCTTTCATTACTCTGGTTACTGTTTAAGTGAATTCTCTGCTCACCAACGTTACTCCATCAACTTTATCCACTACACCAGCTATTTACCCACCTTAATATTACCACGTTTAGTCTGCTTATTTGGACTGGACTAATTCACATTCGCATTTGTCGACTTTGAGCTCTGAAAAAAAAACGAAGCATTTTTTTTGCTTTAGAAGGCTTAAAGAAGCAGTACCCAAGGAAATAGGTTTTGAGGCCTCAGGGTATGACAACTGGAATTGCATATCATTTTAATCCAAACCACGGGACTGCATTTGCTGTAAGGCAAAGTTATTTACTCCTGTGAAATTTGGAACAAAACAGGTGGGAGCTGCAATGTTTCACAGTTTTGTTTATAGTGAGACATATTTCAAATTACCTGGAGACTCCAAGCAAAACAGAGGTTGTACAAACAAGCACAGAAATGGTTTCTCCTCCACAGAGTTATTATGGTACAGAAGTAGACACACAGTCAAGAAGCACAAGGACAAACCATTCCAAATTGTCCCAAGTCAATGAGCCATTCAATAGATTTCTGACTTCCACTTCAACGCTTTATCTGTCCCACACTGATAGGAAATGAGTATCGAGGGCAATCTTACTGCTCTTTGAAATAATGGAGATTTGCTTTTCTGGTAGTTAACTCAATGCAGAATCTATTTTCTGAACAGCAGTAGATGTGTCAGCTGGCTTACCTGGCTGATGTATTTGATCAGATACATACATTGTCCTATGAAAGATGTAGAACACATCTCAGCATGTCAGGGGAAATTACTGCACTTATTAAAAAAGTAAGCATGCAGCAAGGAAAGAGTAAAAATCAATGACTTTACTGTAATCCCTTTGTTGCTACTATGCAGGGTTGGGAAGAACAGTCAATGATGTGAAAGTCAGCATGTAAAAACAGTTATTGAATGGGTCAAAGTCTGAGATGAAAGAAATAACTGAGTGAAAACTCCTCTCAGTGAAGCAGCTGTTAATTGTGTTCATCAGTCCAGTGAATGTAAAGGGAAATTAAACGAGCTCCTGCTCTTTGAAGAATTTTTTTCTTCCATTGTCATTCATGGTGCCAGTTCCAGGTGCCTGCACTGAAAGGTCACACTTGTTGCTGGCTCTGAGCCCTTAGTACTGTCACTAAACATTTTGGACCTGCATAAGCTTTTCAACACCACCTCTGCAGGATTTGTGATAAAAGAAAAAAATCCAGCACCAAGACATAAGCCACCTGTGTCTTGGCAGTAATGTCATACCTTCCCTGAGAAAACAGAGTGCTCCAGGAGCTGAGACCAACACAACTCAGAGAATCTCTGGGCTGGTGCTGAAGGAAGTAACTTAACCTCTTACTCTTGCCTGTCTCTGTTCAAAGTGGAGACAGTACAAAAAAGACACACAGCTGGTTTAAGAAATGTTCAGAGGGAGTGAGTTTTTGTGGTAAACCCATTCCCCAGATGCCATTATCCTTTTCTTCAAAAAAAAAAAACGATTTCCCCTCACCAGTGTTCCTCTATTGCTGTTTCTGGTGTGTTGTTCCTTTGTAAAGGTTTTCTTTCTTTTTTTTTTTCCTATTAGTTTTTATTTCTCTTTAATCTTCCCAGAATAAGGACTTTATAATCTTATAATCAGCACAGATGTGAAAGCACTCAAATCGAGAATAAGAGAAGCTGAAACCAAGTCTTCAGGGATTACTACAAGGCTTCACTCAAGAGAAGACTCAGCTACCATCACCTGGGGACCCTGAAAGAAAAACAGAGACACCTGAATTCAACCAGGATGTTCCCTGCCCAAGCTATGAGACCCATACACCCCCAAATCTCCTGACCAGGTAACACCACCAGGCACACAACACAAGGCAAGCTGTTCACAGGTAGCCTACAAACTGTCCAAGGACACCAAGGGGAGGAGGCACTGCACAAAGTAATTGCAGATGCAGTTTCTCAGGACTCCTTCCTCCCCATCTCCCCCCCCACTTTGGAGCCATGTGGCACAAGAGCACTGTGTGAAGTATTTGACAGTGAAAAGTAACTCAGATCAGAGAGAGACCTTAAACTGGGCTTAGCTTAGGTAGCTATTTCTAATCTTAAAGGCCATATGAGCAAAGTATCAAATTTTCTTTTGTTTTCACTAAAGACAGAGAGAAAAACATAAATCACGAGACTCGAACACGTAACTTTTTAAAAGCTTTAAGAGGAAGGAAGTCAGCCTCTAAATGAACTCTAAACCCTACGATAATTACATGAAAGGGACTGGAGTAGTATGAAAACGTGAACTGCCTTCTTGAGAGCTGCAACATTGATTATACAGGAGATGCTGTCAGAAGGACTAATGTGTTAAAGGTTAGTCTTCCTTTTGAATAGCAGCAGGTTGGTGAGTACAAAGACAAAGGAGCTTTTAAGGGGCACTCTGGAACTCTTACACGGCTGAACTTTGCACAAGAGCAACAGACATTCATGCAATAGGGAGTCCTCCGGGCTAACAAAAGTATTCAAATGACAGTTTTAAAGTTTAGATTTGCAGATGGTTTCATTAGTTGCTCAGGAAGCAAGGTACACAGTAGATACTAAAAGGCTATCTGTAGTAGAACTGCAAAAGAAAATCTCTTAATCCTTCCTTTGGTTAGGCAAATGTGCATCTTTTCCATACTCTGCATCTTTGCAGCAATAAGTGGAAAGGGTAATTAAGTAGTAGTTAGGAATCTGCTGAGTGTTGCATGTCCTTAATGTGCTTTAAGGAAATTCTAGCATTACAGATGCATGGCATTCCTATTACTTGATAATTGCATTTTAAAGTTTGGCATTTTAATTATGCTAATATGCATGGAGTTACATTTCAAATTTAGTACCTTATTTTATGGACCAAGTGCTGTAAGTTCTTGCCCCTAAAGTAGTAAGATGTCATGGAAATCTGCGCTGTAACATCCTATCACTTTATCCTTATAGTCTAATTAAATGCTGACATCGTTTAAATGAGTTAAATTGAGTATGTTGGGTTTGTGTGTGTCTTGCCAATTCAAAGCAAATTTAAATTAAGAGCCTTTATGAGAGTTTCATACTCCTTCTGGCATGTTGCATTATTATATCGTAATAGATGTAATTTGGAAGATTATATCACTCCTTAATTCATTCTCCCAGTTGTTTAAGAGACAAATTTGGGCTCATCAATTTGGGTTGAATGTTTTGTTGCTTGTTTTAGCTGTGTAAGTAACCAAGTAACTCTTAGAGAATCACTTTTAAAATTCAAACACGGACAATGCAGGATGCTGTGTTTTTAAAGTGGACTGGTGATCCAAATACCAATGCAATTCTTGAAACACCCGTCTTAAGTAACATGTAAACAAGCCTCTTTTCAGAACAGAGGTGCTTCACGTTCTCTAGAGAATCACAGCACTCTTAGTTTTCTCAGGTCTGGTAGGTAAAATGACGAGCTGTTTTGAAAACTTAGGCTAAAAAGGAATTATAAGAGAAATTCTTAGAACTGATCATCCTTCTTAAAATGGCTTGAATACACACAGACCCTGGCTCTAGGCTGTACTCTATTATCTATGTGTAAAGTCTGTTCTATGGCTGAAAAATAAATAGGGACAATCAGTTATGTCCTGTCTATTTTAATTCTGCAATTGCATCAAAACAGGTGGGGAAATGAGGATGATTTGGCTACAAGACTGTGGCACCACTCCAGTGAATCAAGAACCTTTAAAGGAGACAGAAAGTGCAAGAAAAGAGGAACTTACCCTTCTGTATCTTTGTAAGAAAAGCAAAATACTATAATTTTTAAGTAGTTTTAATAATACTAAAAAAAAAAAAAAAAGGTGACTAGGCCATCTGGGTAGGAAGTAGTTGAAAGAAGTTAAATGAAAGTGGGAAAAATAGCTAGAAAGTGAGGATAGTGAAAACCAGAAATGATTGTGAATAGAAAAAACACTATTCATCAAACTGATCAAAGAATCAGAATATGAGAAAAAAAATACAGTAAAGCTATCCTGAGTGAAAGTAGATTTTGAAGTTTCAGGTGCATTTTTGCTAACTGATCATCAGCTCTCAAGACCACTTAGCATCTGAAAGGCTGTACTGTGTATGAAATTCTGTTAGGATGATTAAGAGATCCCACTGATGCTTAAAACAGTTTGTATTTATTTACCTGTAACTTTTATTTCTCAATATGTTTACTCTTGCCCCTTTTTCATGGGTAAGGTTACCTAGCATTAGTGAAAAGAGATAAAGCTAAGAGAGTGCACCACGGTAGAGATGGATAAAAGGTAAATATGCAGTCCAGCACAGCCAGGGCTTCCAATCCAACACGTATCTTGGAAGGTGTGAAACATAACCAGCAGTCTAAAAAGTGTGGCTGTGGGGACTGATGTCCTTGGTTTTGGGGGCAGAGGGAGACAGCAAAGGGTAGAAATGCAGAAGACTGCAGAGAGACACCTGACAGCTCTGAGTAAATCAAAGTCCCTGAGGGGAGATGCTGGTGTGCGCACAAATAGGCTGCAAACACCTGCTCCATGAATAAGCTTGAAAGGTTTCACACCTGGTAACCCACTGTGCTTCCTCTCCAGCGATCAAAGAGGCATCACTACGCTCCTGGTGTGATTATTTTTAAATTCTATTTGCAATTGCTTGTCTACAAGAGGAATGTTCAAGCAAATGAAGGCAAATAACTGCTGGCATCAAGCCAATGTCTGCCATTCAACCATCATCTCTTCATTTCTTATCCTTTTTACTGATCTGACTCATGTCACTGGAATTAGAGGAACTAAGGGGAAAAAATGAAATTTACCTCAAAGTATTCACATTTTTACAAATTTACCTTTGTATTTATAGCATATTTCCTGTTCTTCACACTAACAAAAATCCCCAGTGCCTCCATCATCACTCTCTAAGTAATGTCCTCCTACCATCTTAGCATTTAATAGTGGAGGGGGAGAATGCAGAACCAGGAGTGACTGTGCCTCTTCATCACAGGATTTCTCACCAAAAACCTTTAAAGAGGAGACTGAGAACAAGAACGTTTAGGACCATAAATTTATATTACTTTTCCTCACCCCAGTGAAGAGACTGAGAATAAAAACTGAGACACTTTTACAGAGACAGTTCTGACTTTTGCCTTCCACTTGCCATCCCCGTAAGACAGACAATGGTCTGCCTAGCACAGAACAGAGCCACTCACCTCCTGCCTGCTCTCAATAAGGAGACACCAGCATCTGATTCCCTGAAAGAGCTCCCAGTACAACAAATCAGTCTGGACAGTCAAGAGAGACTTTCACTATGTGGATTTGAAACTAATTATTCCTAGTGACTAGGTTTTACCTATTAGCCTTTTCCCACTAGGCAGGAACCGGTTCAAACACAGACCAACCTATGTGCTTGTGAAAAAATATTGCATATACTCTTGCCACTCATACATATTAGGCAGGGACAAAGTGCTACAAATTAAAACACCCAAATCACACTTAATTGTAACATTTCCTGAGTTTTGAGTACTCAGCAAACATCTTTAACCAATATGTAATGTTAAACATTTCAAATGGTATGCTAAAAACACCTGCATCCTAAATTCCTGGGAGAATGCAGTCTGGATCCCACTGGTGATTGCCATTTGTGCAGGGGGTCTAAGCTCCCATCCACTTTTTGGGTCACTTTATCCCTGTGGATACAAAGAACATGCCTCTACACATTAATGATGGCAAGAGACGCACTACTTGTCACATGGGGCTAGAAAAAAAACTTTCTCTGTTTTCCTTCTCTTCCACAGCCACGCAGGACCAGCTGTACTGTGGCTTTCTGGGGGTCAAGTTGAAATTGCATTCTATTTTGGACTCCATAAGCAGTGAAAATATTCCCTGTCTGTGTGTACCAACATTCATGCATCTTGCTTAATGCAGCTATTAAATTAAAAGATCCCACTGGTTCTAATTGGTCTTCCTGAGTCAAAGTGTTTATCCATTCCACTTAAGGTAAAGCTCCATAGAGAGTCTATTTATAAATGTTACCAACATGGTTAATGCTTTTGACCTTTGATGGTGAGCGATTCTAATGGTTGTGCAACACAGGAGCAACATTTTTTTGTTACTATTCTGGATGTTCTTGTTCGGAACAGTCTGATGGCCTCTATTTCCCTCTTTCTCTATTTTTTAAAGTCTGCCAAATAAAAGGAATTATTTGCTCTGGGTGCAGACGGCCTGAGTTTTGCAGCAGCTCATGAGCAATAATCCATAGAACAGTGCACACATCAGCTTCTCAGAATCCACCCCACCAAAATGCACCAACCTTGTGCCAAGGTTTTTTCCTGTGTTAGAGCCAAAATGAACATGAGGGGAGGACGAGGTACCTGCATGTGTGTTCATGGGGTAAAGTATCTGCAGTTACATCTTTCTCATCTGAGTGATGCAACGACCTCCTGGGCTCTGACTTAGGGCAGCTGAGGGGAAATTAAGGAGGGCTGACTAAAAATACTCAAATAAGGCAATTGCTTAAATTATAAAAGAAGACTGGGTCTACTTTAAAGAAATTTGAAAAATCTGTTAAATGATTTCGTTATGTTTTCATTAACCCTTGTATTTATTTTAATTCACTGCTTTAGCAGTCACATGCTCCCACCCAGACAGTTCCTGTGGGGAGGCTGCCTGAGCCATAGGGGCAGCACCTCAAGACAAATGGAGATACTGTACCAGGTACATTCCTGTGTAGCTGAGTTCTTTGTTCCCCAGATTTTTTCAGTAAACAGCAGGCTAGAAGAAGCTAATCAATGTTAAACCCCAATTCTTAATCCAGGCATGGGACCAGGAGCAAGGGAGCACAGGGCTGGTGAAGAGCAGGTAATGCAGGTGAGGGAAGCAGATGGGGCAGGATGCCAGAAAACTGAGTTCCTGGTTTCCTACTTTCTTGAATTGCTGGTTTCAGATTTCTTTTTTTTTCTGTTTTAGCTGTGTAGGAATTAGATTTAAACCTTTGGTTTGCATTGCAGAAGAGGGAATCTGTGATGAAAGAAATATTGGCAGTGTTCCTTCATCCTTTTTTGAGCTGTTGGAATGAAGCAGGCTATGCCTTCCTAATTGTTAAGTTCTCAGCAAAAAAAGAAATAAAAAAAAAAGCAGGATTCCCAGCATGCATTCTGGTCTGGGAAAAGGCCAGAGACAGGAGTACCATGCCAACCCAATGTCATCACTTACTGGCAATCTGCCACAGCAGAAACTGCATGGTTGAAAACTGTTTGGTGACACCAGCAGTTCATGTTTTCTTGCTGAAATGATGCTCATCTCCTGTATTGAACCTTCAGAAAAACATAACAAATCCAACCATAGTATTTTTCCATGTGAGGGGATGGGGAAAAAAATAAAAATTGTTTGTCTATATAGTCTTGAAATCCCTCTCAGACTGCTCCTGGGATCCTGAGGAGAAGGATAAGAGAACGCCACTGTATGTATCCTTTATAGACAAGCAAACCAATGTGTGAATAAGGTAAGGATTACACCCCAGAGAAGCATTGAAGATGCCACTTGTGCCGACCAATTTCTGTGTGAAATCCAGATGTGTAGTTTAAATTTTCAAGGACCTAGGACACCATAAGCACCTTTATGCACTACTGGAGTCGTGCAGCTGTCTTATATCCCAGCTAGGGAATTCTGCCTGACGGGAATGCTCTGCTGCTCGCTGTCTCAGCGTTGGTGTTTCAATCCAGACTGGGAACGACTTTTGAACTGATGCCTTAAGCCCCTAATGGTTTTTATTTTTCTAATATTTGTAAGACTTATGAGTTTTATAAGTAGGTTTAAAAGCAGAAACCCCTTCCTTCTTTGTCCCTTGTCCCTTTCTCCAGTACCCTTGTTTATGCATTCCCTAACCCTCTTACCCCATTCTGTGCTCCCCATATCAATCCTGCTTCTGAATACAGCAGAAGTGTTTAGTCTTTTGTCAAGGCAAGGCCTAGACAGTTGACAGAACAGCATATCTGGGCCTAAACCACAGAATAGGTCAGGAATTAGGTAACTATGTACCCTTTGTGCTCTGATGAAGTTGAAGATGATGAAGTAAGTGGTCCCAAAAGGACCCCAGACCCAATTCTCAGGGGGTGGACCCGGGGCGGACCAGAGTAAAGGCCGCGGGGTGGACACATCTGGGATTGGATGGATGGTGTTATAAAATGTAACCTCTCGGGCACGGCCGGCGCGCGCGTCGTATACCATCTACTGCCTTGGCAAATAAACCCTTTCTTATCTCACCCCTAATTAACTGCTCCAGAGATTTTTTTCCAGCACCAAAATACACCGGCAACAGAACCGATCCCTGCTTCTGGTACTTTGGTTCACATTAGGGACTGATCACAGCACACACACACATGCACACACACGCAGTGGCCTTGAAGTGAATCTCTCCCAAAAGGTGAGGGCTGGGTGTGCATCCAGCTACTCACGGGCTCTCTGCACACAGGCCAAGGCTAGAGCCAGTCCAGAGGAAAACCTCTCAAGCTGCGTGACTGCTGTCTCTTCTGCACCAACAGTTTTGCTCTGCAAACCTACTCCTCTAGGGCTGCAATTTGCTGAGAGACCCTAAAATAGAACTGCATGGCAGCTCCAGGGATCTCCAAGCTAAAAACAAATGTTTAGAAGTGGTGGGGGACTCTTGCTGTCCTGAACACCTGTGATCCTCAGCCCCAGGTGTGTTCACAGCTCCCTCCCTAGAGCCACAAGGACTCCTCCCCTTGAAGAACTGGGGGTTTGAGGAGCTGAAATATTTCCTGATTGCATAGCCAAGAGAATTATGTAGTAGACAAGTGGTAAAGACACCTCCCTGAGGAGAGGCTCTGCTCTCTGCCCAGAGGCAACTTGCAATGCTTCACGCAGCGGGAGATACCAACCTCCTTGGCACTGGGAACCAAACCCAGGATTCCCCAGTACTGGCACACACAGACCACTTCCTGAGATGCTGCTCAGGTAAAACAACTCCAATTAAAATAAATCCATAAGCAGCTACCACACCAGGGCCTTGTTTCCTGCGGTCACAAACTGCACGGTTGGACTCTCCTGCGTCACCTGCGGGCCGTCTGAAACGTGTCCCCAGGTTGTTTTTGGGGCATGTACCCCCCCCTTATGCACTGTGCAGGCAGTTTCAGCACCCTCTTGAGGTTTCTGAAAGAATTTGAGGAATTTGGAAGCAGCTGCCCGAAATTTAAGTGTAGTAATGCTCAGCATAACTACTCGCAGACTCACTGGTGGATCTGGGCCAATGTGATGGGTCCAGTGCCAGAGCCAAGAAAATAGGAGTGGGACTCAGTCAAAATGTGCAAAACAAATGCCTAAATTACATTCTTAGATACATAAGTCACAGACCAAGGTGGGTGCAAAGGAAACACCCTGCCTACCTTTCATTTGCATGGAACAATCCAAAAGGAGAGGTATTTTTAAGAAGCCAGACTATAATTTCATTGTTCCTGTTGTTTATTGCCACTGCACTGACAGCCTTTAGTCCAGTGTTAATCTGAGTCAATAAGAGATTGTGTATGTCAGAGTGCAGATTGTGATCATTATTCTTGACACCCTGCTTGCAATGTGGAGCCTCCAAGGACGCTTCTGTCCAATGTCTTAACCTTCTTCAGTTGTGAATTACAGCCTAGGAATTTTATTACATGTTCATCTGCAAGGCTGCATACAACAGGGTGACAAACTCCACCTCCCCCAGTAATGGGACTGAGAGAGCAATGAGGGTAATGTGTTAATATATGTCCCTTGGAGGACTTCCTGAACAAAGAAAAAGAAAAAAAAAGAAAATAATAGAATCACAGAAAAAGGAGTAATTGACAATATTCCTTCACACTCCTAGCCAGACAACATCTGTTCAAATTAGATTTTGTGAATTTGATACTATCTGAACAGCAGGCCTGGTCCATAAGCCACCAATAATTCTTTTCCCTTCCTTCTCCCTTTTCTAATGAAATAATCATCTCTAAAACAGATTCCTTGGAAAGAAACATGTGCAAATGGTTGTTTTTATGCCAAATAGAGCTTTATTAACATCAGTAAAATCAACAGGGGTATAAGGGATTGCTCATTAAAAGGTGGAATCTCTACATTCTGCCCTTCCAAGAACTGAAATATTTTAAAGACAAACATATTTCTGCTTTATCTTTTCTCCCTGGTGACAAGCTGCTATTGGACATCTTATTTAATAGCTTCACAGGAACTCCATACAAAGAAGAGTGAGAAAATTTATCTCATCTGAAAATGGATTTTCTTTGAGTGGGAAAATCCATGGATCCAGCTCACTTGGCATAAGGATTATCATTCTGAAACAAGCTTAAACTGTCATATCCATCCAAACAGGTTTGGTTTGGGGTTTTTTGGCCAGAATGCTTAGGAATAGAATGGGAAGGGATACCCTACAATTTAAGCCTCCCTGAGAACTGTAGTTTTTCTTCTTCTTTTCTTAATAAAGAATGGAAATTTAAATCAAGAAGAGAACCTGTATATTTAATTTGACTACTAAAATTCACAATATGCAACTTTCAGTGTCCTATGCAGAAGACTTCCTGCAGAAAAAAACCCCTGTAAAATCTTATGCATGAGTATTTGAATCAGAAATGCTGGCACATTTATCTAACCACTGCATAATGCACTGTGTTTACAGTCATACAAGAATAAAAGAACAGTTATACCAGGCCAGATCAAAGATCCACCCCCTCAGCATGCAGTTTCTGAGAGCATCAAGTAGAGGGTATCTGCAGATAACACACAGAGTAACACTTCTCCTGTATTGTCTTTGGAAAATCAGCAAATCAGGGGCGATTAAAATCATTCATTAACTTCATCAGATGCTGCTAATGAAATTAAATTAAGCCATGACCTGGCTGTTTGCATACCATAAGCAGAAAAATAAGGGTCAAAATTAGTCATTACTCATCCTGAATTCTTTGGTCACATCTAAAACTATTTCAATGGGCGAAATTATTTACAGATTTTTTTTCTTTAGCTAATAATTACACTTCACATGAAGTAAATTATTTGCTTAATGTTCAGCTACAAGTTAGAAAACTTCTGGGACATCTGTAATCTTAGATCAGCTTCTAAAGGCAAGGATAGTTTCTTTTAACAGCTTTAAGAGGAATTATTTTCCCTTCTAGGCTAATCCAAACAGCAAATCAATACCACAGAGGTTATGTTATGCCTCCTTTTGTTGCAGAACAGCAAGCTGTTGATGATTTGTTTTTAGTAAATGACTTATTATGTTACTAGAGAATTCATGTATTGTCCGTCTCTGGCATCACTTATGCCTTTAGGATTTTTCTCCCTTATTGGATTATAGTGGCTGTTGAAACTAGTGATTAGAAGAAAGTTTGTTTTGTGGAAAAAATTCTGAAAATTTACACATGATTTCATATATATGGCATCTTGGTCATGTTAGGATCAAAAATACTCCCCCACAGCTACTGCTGAGAGTTCTTAGCCTTTTTAATGCTATTCAGTTATTCATTTTTTATGCTAAGCAAGGAATGTCATATAACAATAAAAATTAAGCAGCTTACAGGAAATGTGCAATAATCCATCCTCAGTCAAGAGAGCTCATGAAATTGGGATTCATCAAATTCTGCTGATATAAGAGGCTAACTGCATGCAGAACACGTTTATGTAACGTTCTGGCAACAGACAAATATACAGCCTTTCTTTTAATTAGAAAATCTGTCTCTCCCTGTTTCATTCTGTGAAGCATAAACCTGAATAAAATGTAGCTGCATGCTGCATGTACTGACTTATAAGTTCATTAAACAGATGTACGTAGAAAGACCATTTCGGTTGGCAACGAAGACACCTGTGCTAAAACCCACTCAAACTGGGGATCCCCAACCAGGCACATGCTGAGGAGGACAAAGCAATCTGACCTCTTGTTGTGCTGGTCACTGTACAAGCAGTGCCCCAGAAAGAGAGGTGTGTTCTTCAAGGGGATTTCAGAAGCGCGGGCATAAAGTCAAGGATGTGGCAACAGCAAGCACAACGACTGCACCGCAGGTGAAAAGCTGGAAAGGGAGTGGCAGAGCCATCGTTTGGAAACACAGAGGGTAGGGGAAGGTTTCCCTGCGACCACAGCCCACGCTGGGAGTCGGTGATGAAAGAGGAAGTAGCAGCTGGATCGCCCCAGAGCCAAAAAATGAAGCACAGGGGCTGTGCAAAAACATTTGGCTGTTTAAGCTGCGACTGCTGAGGGGGCACAACGTGGCTGCCCCTCCACTTGTGCCCACTGCACTGCTGCAGCTGGCTGGCAGGAAGAGACAGGGGAGCTGGA